GTGATACTTGATTTTCTGTGCCTAGCTTGTTTCTCTAAGAAAATGACCTCAGTTCCATCCGTGTTGTTGTAAAAGACAAGTTTCCACACGATTTAAATAACAATGCTGTTGATAATCTACAAGGCAGCACAGACTCCAGCTGCTTCCTTCACAATTGTACTGACTGACTACACAAGAGCACTATCTGCCCAGACTGATTCTATCGCACACTTCAGCAGCTATGTTTTCAATGACTCTTAAGAATTAAAGGAGTACGTTTGCATGGGCCATTTCACCATTAGGATGCTAATATCTATCACTAATATTTTTCTTTGATATGTTGTTGAAAATAAATATCCTAATGATACATAGGATAATACATATTACCATATATTTTGCTTAGCATTAAATATATTTAAATATGTTTCATATAAAATATATTTTAAAATCAAAAGACAAAGAGGAAATCCAACAATTAATTAGACTCTATAGAACATAAACAGCATTAGACAAAGACAAGGAACTCTTAGAAAAATCCTACATATCCAGCTAATACTCAGTAAAAATCATTGCTAATCAGAAGAACTCAACAACAAAAAGAAGCTTGCTGCTTTGCTTTCTTACGCGCTAAACAATTAAAATCTTGTTCTTGTTGTCGTTGTTTTTTAAGATTTTAAAGAATCTCAAATCACTCAATAAGATGCAAATACCAACTGAAATTAGAATTTTCCTTTGGCCAATAATGGCTTGATTGTGAATCACAGAACTAAGACAATGTAATTAGGTCCTATTGCACACAGAATTTTGCGGCTATTCTCTACTTACTTCAAAAGGAAATACTTGTCAAGGTTTGATTATAAATGTGAGCAATGCAACAAATATCTTATCAGTTTACAACCAGCATGTAAATTCGTAAAGATTATTTGTATACTGGCTATGAAATATGTGTATTTCCAAATATAGCTTCTGCAGAGTTGAAGTGAATTTATGTCTTGGGCTAATAAAATGAGGGAAAGTACCCCCTCATGGTGGCACTAGAATCCAAGAAGTGGGTTCCTGGATCTGAAACCAGAGAAGCTAATCTGGGGTACAGTCATTGTTACATCAATATAACATGTTAGGAAAATGTCATATAATCCTTAGTTTTTCAAATTAATATCAACATTCATATTAATCAGCAGTGAACCTTGATTATTTTCAGAACTATACCTCAATCAGTTCACTTTGCAAATTAGGAAACTGAAATTTCTGAAACTGTTACAGATTTGTCCCAAGGTTACCCAGGAGTAAACAAGAGCGCTAGCGTTAGAACCCCAGTTCCTTACTCTTTCTCCAAAGTAATTGATTTCATTCATTTTGGAAACTATGCCAGATAAAACTGTACTCTAAATGTGTGAAATTATTGTTCTATACAGTGTTTAAAATAATTTTGAGTTTTAAGAACTACCATACATCTTTTCTTTATGAGCCAAAGCGGCCACAATGTATATGCATGCTTTTATAAGACAAATTCTAAACTGTAACATTTTTAAGAGTGTAAAATGTAATGTTCATAATGTCTAATTTATGTCCCTTGAAGTGTGTTTAACTGGCAATAAGCCTTTTCAAGGTACAGAAAGTACAGGCCTCAACCACTAGCATCTTATTTAATTGGTTATCTGTGTCTTTCATGCAAATATTCATTCTTTTGCATAAAAATAATTCTATTTAAAAGGGAGGTGTAGGTTGGCGATACATACAGCCAGAATATGAGAGGAGTGATTTTTTTTTAAATCACATTCCAGCATGAAAACAGGAATACAACACAGGCTAAATGGGAGGGGGAAAGAATGGACTTAGAATTTCTTGAGCTATTATTTACCATGTTTTATTAGATGCTTTGAATGCTTTCACTTTAAGTTTTTGCAAACAAATTGATTCCATGTATCCAGAATCTTTCACTAAATTCTTGATTCTTTCCCAAAATCACTTTAAAATAAGAATAACAAGATGTTTTCATAAGAAGCCCACAAATCTTAAGAATAAAAAGAATAGGAGGAGAGATGCTAACCACAAAGTTATGGAAGTTGGGAAGTAATTGGTTAGTTGCCGGCAAACCCTGAGTCCATCGGTAGGAAAAGCTGAGAACTGGCAGGAATGACACTACAGAAGCCCCTACGGTATGTGAAGCTGAAGAAATACTTTCTTTGAAAATTAAAACATCTACTCAGGGAAGCAAAGGCTCTCAGAGTGAGAAGTGCACCCCACAATAGGTCCTCCTTGTCTTCTCATTGGGGGTGGGGTGGGAGTGCTCAGGTAGGTGGTCTGATCTGGGTTTGCTGACAGAGGTATGACCTTGTCCAGACACACAGCTTGCAGCCAACACTCTCACAGACACAGGAGCCAGTAAGGGCGGAGGAAACTCATGCCCAGCCACACAGGATAATCAACCTGGCCTTTCGTGTAAGAAAAATAAACAACTAAGAATCACTAGGAATTTTAAAAACTAACAACACAAAGGGATAAGATCAAATAAATAAAGAACAACCGATTTGGGAGGGAAAAAGAGGTCCAGTAAGTGAAGAGAACTTTAAAATAACTCTCATTAGTAATCTGAGAACGATTCAAGAATATATCCTTCATAAACTAGAGCAAACCAATATGTGCAAGGGGAGTAACAGAATAAGGAAGAATCCATGAAAATGAAGAATACAGTTATCAAAATCAAATAAAAAGAATCTGAAATGTAAAGCAATACTACTAGGAGGTGAAAAATATAAAATTAAAATCCAACCAGTCCAATAGTTATCAAAATCAAACAAAAAGAATCTAAAATGTAAAGCAATACTACTAGGAGGTGAAAAATATAAAATTAAAATCCAACCAGTCCAATAGCCATCTACAGGTATCTTTAATAACAAAGAGCAAAAGCAATTAAGGGGAAGAAATGATCGTACAGTAGAAGAAAATCTCTAGAGCCCAAGACAGGACTCTATTTATTTTGGCTTTTGGGGAGACAGACTCTTACTATGTTAGATTGTGGAGTTCTGTGGCATCACAGCTCACAGCAACCTCAAACTCTTAGGCTTAAGTATTCTCTTGCCTCAGCCTCCCAAGTAGCTGGGACTACAGGTGCCTGCCATTACACTGGCTATTTTTTTTTCTTTGTCATTGTTGTCATACTTGTCATTGTTGTTTAGCAGGCCCAGGCCAAGTTCAAACCCACCAGCCCCAGTGTAAGTGGCGGTGCCCTAACCACTGAGCTATGGGCATGGAGCCAAGACATGACTCTTTAGATAAAATGGTCAGTAATTGTGGTTCAGGATAAATGAAAAATAACCCCATAATCACATCTTCATTGCCTGTCTGACCATCTCAACAAGTTCACCTCCCATTCTTGTCTCTGGATCTTCTGCTTCTCCCTGACTGCCAAATTGTGTGAACCAGGGTTCAGTATTTTTGTATTTTTGCTTCTTCTCTTTGTCTCTTCCATATTTCACTCACTTGGTAAATGATCTTATCCAGCCCCATCACTTTGAATGCCAGCAACGTACTGATAACTCTCAAATTTATATCTTTACTTCCAACCTCCTCCCCAAACTCCTGACATCAAATTTCCTTTCTATAATCTAGCAGACATTTCAAATACATGACTAAAATAGAATTTTTACCTCAATCTCTACTTCAAATTGCTCACCTCCCCCAAAACACCGTTAATTCAACGCTCAGACCATAAAATTATGAGTCATGCTAAACTCCCCTCTCCCTCACGCTGTGTATACAATACATTAGCAAGGCCAACATCTAACAGAAATTTGAAAGAATGGTATGTTCAAGAAGTATATTCATTCCCTGACACCTCGATGAAGCTGTATTTTCCCTCTCTCCCACACCTCACAACTCTTGTTTATATTCATACCATATCTCATTCAAAGCAATACCTTTTTTAGTGACATAGGATCTCTTTAGTAACAAGCATCTCTTTGTCTATGGTACAAACACTGCATGCTCTATAATAAATACTATTATGTGATATTTTAAATGTCAAGAATGGTTTTAAATTCTAAATAAAGCAGGAAAGACATTTATATATGGTAAATTAAGTGTAAATTCTATAAACCTAAAATGTAAAAGTAACACAAATCAGGAGTTAGCAGGTCAAAGGAGATGAGAAAGAAAACATAGGTGTAAAAAGAACTCTACTCTTACAAATATAGAAGTCAGAAGGCACTGTAAAAAATATATATATATCCTGGGTCGAGATACAAAATTTGCACAAAGGTAAGTAGCAATGGAACTTTTAAAAAGTTGTCTGGTAGGACTCGGACTCAGGAGAGGGGACAAATATAAGGGTTAGGGATTTCTTATGCATAATGGAAGTGAAGGAATAGGTATTTTTAAATTGATACATTAACAAGGATTATTTTTTAAAGATTTAGATTTAACCTTCAGAAAAATGATCCATAAAATAGTTTAAAATAGTTACTTCTGATGCATGGGGATGGAGAAAAGTATAAGGACCCTTAGTCTCCATTTAGTAACCCTTCAGTGTTTGAATTTGTATTACAGTGTATCTTGCTGGTGTAATAATTAAATGAACAAATAAAAGTATGAATAAATAATAAAGTGAATGATCACATAAAATCTAGATTTTCATAAATATTTATCTGATTAAGATTTCAGGAGATGCTAATTTCTGCTTCCCTATGAGTGGCATAAAGGACACAAATAATGTCCTAGGATGTGTAAGTGCAGTTTTATTGTAATTCACTCCATCAGTATAGGTTTTGGTTGACTACTGTTTGCCCAAAACATGTTGATGCTAGGGTAGGTATTTAATAAAAAGAATTCCATAAAGGAAGAATCCTTCACATCTACATGCAGAGAAGCTGATTCCCTATAATCTATCTCCTCAAAGCTCTACAGGCCTATAGGGCCCTCCCCAGGGAGAGGCTGCAGTTTTGAACACAGTAAATATTTCCATTGTCCTAATGCTACCTCTTGTCCTACTTCTGTGCTTATAAACATGGCACTATTTTTACCTTGAATAATGCATGGCTTGGTGGCCTGCGATATTAAAATAGAAGTCAGTGGTGTGCTTCATTTCATTGGTGTGCCCAGTGGCCTCGATCCAGTGTCCTATGGGGAGACAATAAACACCATCCACCAAGTCGTTTTCATTATAAGTACAGCAGCGATCGTGATGAGGCCCATTGCCTAGAACAAGAGGAAATGACAAACAGAGCAATTAAATCCGTGTTTTGCTTAAGTAGCCTCAAAGTGGCTGATGCAAAATTAATAGAATGAAGAAAATAAACATAAAGCTGTTGAATCTGCTCATTTCATATAAACAAAAATAGACTAGCGTGAGAGAGAGAACAGTAGGAATTGTAAGGAGTTACTTAGGGAAATTACAGGGTTCTGTGCTCCCTTTGTGTACCGTGGATTCCACAAAACCATTTTAACTCTTTGACAATGTCATGGGACTTCTCAGTGCCCTAAACGCCCATTGTGAATCATTTTGCAGCCTGATTAGCTTCTGGAAAAGGTTTTTAAAGCCATTATTGTCCCCAAATTATATACTTTTATCTTTCTGGTATGCAATTGTCTGACTAAAATCAGTAATAAAGTGTTACAGTGTCAGCTCAAATAAATACACAAATATAAATAAATGCATTAATAAATAAATAGTCCTATCTAATCTAGTTTCAGGTAAAACAGTGGTTATCATTATTTTCAGATGGAGAAATAAAGTTTATAGAGATTATCTAGCTTGCCCACAGTCACAGAACTAGTGATACAGAGATACTAGCAACCCCAGTCCATATTTTAGGCAGCTGACACTTTCATGCTGCTCACGGCCTATGTCACACGCACTAAGACACACCATCTTCTTCCAGGGTCAAGCAACAAAGGAAGCAGACACAGAGGAACACATCTCTGAAAATACTTGCCTACTTCACAGTTGTGCTCAGTATCAACTAGTTGCTATGATGTGGATGTTTATGTCCCTTCCAAAATTCATCTGTTGAAATCCTAACCCCCAAGATGATAGGGGGTTAGGGAGATGATTAAGTCACTAGGACAGAGTCCTCCTCACGAGTGAGATTAGCACCCTTACACAAGAGGGCTGACGGAAATCCCTCACTCCTTTCTGCCTCATGAAGACACAGCAAGTAGGCATCATCTATGAACCAAAAACTTAGCCCTAACCAGATGGTGAATCTGCCAGTGCTGTGAGCTTAAAATTCCCAGCTTCCAGAGCCATGAGAAATAAATGTCTTTGTTTATAAGCTACTCAGCACCTAGTGCTTTATTACAGAAGCCTGAAAGGTCTAAGACACTAGTAAACCTTTATTTCTATGAAAACTATAATTCATACATTATTTTTATGACCTTCTGTGACCACCCCCATTTCAAATCACTCTTTTCCTTATACTATCTAATTATTAAGTATCATTTCAAAAGCCATATAAACAAAATAAATATCTGAGTGGTTTACAGCAGTAACCCCCAAACTTCTTGGCACCAAGAACTGGTTTCATATAAGACAGTTTTCCCATTGGAGGAATACCGGGGATGGAAGCAGGGATGGGACAGGAGGCAGAGCTCAGGTGGTGATGCTGGGCGGCCTGGTTCATGACAGTCCATTGCCCAGCACCAGTCCATGGCTTAGAAGTTTGGGACCAGGGGTTTATGGAATAAACCATGTTCATTATGAATATAAAAATGTGATTCACTTGATCTTTGCTCCTTACTCTGTCTTACAAATATGTAACCTAAATTTGCTTGGCATAAAACCTAAAAAAAAAAAAAAAAAGAAAAACTTTGACTTACTGTTTGACTCTTTGGGATGTAAATCCCTTCTATCAGACAGAAGTTAAAAGATGACTCCCTTAATAAATCATCACTGATCTTTCTAGATAAGTCTCCTCTTTTTCTCTTAATAGCTTTTTTTCTCTTGATTGCTATAAGGAACTACACTGCATTTCTATTAACCTTCATCTGTCATAGATAAAAAACAAACTATATTAGCAATCATACCTCTAGAAATGTAGCCAACAGAAACATTAATTAAAGAGAGAGACATACAAAGATAAATGTGTGTAGCATTACTATTTTAATAGCAAATGCTGTGAACCATTTATCTATTCATTCTTCCACAAATACTAATTGACACAGGTACTATGCTAGGTTATGTTGAAGATGTAGGTATTTACCATAAGAGCAATACAAAAAAAATGCAAAAAAATATTTTAAGCAGACAGGTAACATGATCAGATTTCATTTTGAAAATATCTCTCTGATTGCAGAGTAAAAAAATAATTCAAGAACAATAAAGTAGAAGCAGAAGGTCCATTTAGGAAACTACTACATTAGTCCAGGCAGTTGGCAGAAATGGAAAGGATTATGCAGATTCAGGAGAGAAAGGCCACAGAACTTGGTGATTAATTAGAAAAGGATCAATAATGACTCCTCAGCTCCCAGCAAATTCAATTCTATCTACAGTGGTACTATTCATCGTCAGATGCACAATCCAGAAGAGGTTGCACAGAAACATCATCACTCTCTTGTTTTGGCATGTCAGGGTTGGGGTATTGTTCAGAAATTTAAAAGGATATGTCAGATAGAGAGCTGGAGTTATCGGCTTGACAATATGACCAGAAATGTGACTGAAAGTAAATAAATTTATGAGTCATCTGAGTGGCGACTGAAATATAAACACAGCTGAGTCACATAGAAAAACAATATTGATGGAGAATAAAAGTTCTAGAATCAAGTCTGAAAGGATTTCAACATTTAACATCCAGGCAAAGAAAGATGAACTTCCAGGGCAGCACTTATGGCTCAAAGGAGTAGGGCGCTTCTCCCATATGCAGGAGGTTCAAACCCTCCTTTTGCACTTTTGCCCCAGGCAAAAAGTGCAAAAAAAAAGAAAGAAAGATGAATTAACAAAGAATGTATAGAGAGAGAGGCTGGAGAGGAAAGGTGAGTGAGCAGGTGAGGCAGCAAAGCAGGACTGGAAGTCTGAGCATAGAGACCAGATGGATGCGTGTCTGACTCATCAGTGGTTACTCTGGGAAGTGGGAGTGAAGGGGGGGGGCTACCTTGTTCTAAACAACCCTATAGTGACTGGGTTTGTATAAGGAGCAGGTATTAACTTTTTAGTTTTTAAGAAGAGCATCCACAGCTCCAACTGGTCCTACAATTGCTCCAATTGTTGACCTACAACAATTTAGATGTCACCTCTTTAATAAATAGAATTATTAAGGATCTGAAATATTCACAAATTACAATATTCAAGAACCATTATATTTATGTATCATCAGCTTCCTAAGACTTCTTCATTCCTAGTAATTTTTGAATTACTCATTTTTATACATACATGTTTTCAGCAACTTTCAAAGGAGTTTTTCATAGGTAGTATTTTGAGTTATAGAAAATATTTTCTAGTAATTAAAGTATTTTTACAGGGTGGACCATTGTCTTTTGATTCAGGGGTATCCAGCCTTTTCTCTTCTTTCAGCAAATCTGAAGAATAAGGATTGCCTTGGGCCACACATTAGATACACAAACCCTAATGAAAGTTGATGAGCAAAAAAAAACAGGTCAGTTCATATTTTTTCATGATATCTGACACCACAGATAAGCAAAACAGTCCTCAAATAATCAGTATGTGGCCCAGACCACATGTGGAACACTCCTGATAGCGAAAATAAATAATTTTTTAAAAAATTGTTTTTAGAGATTTCTGTATGCAGGGTTATGGAGTAAAGGTACTTTTCTCTATCACTCCCAATAAATACAATTAAACACACTGGAAATTATAAATAAACAAACATAAGATGAATTTGAAAGGTCAAGAAAAGAAGGCAGACCGTTCAGGAACACTGGGGCTTAAGCAACAGCACGGTAGTGAGTTCCTTGTGTTTTCTTTTTGCTTATATATCCCAAACTTAGGTCAGAAAAGATCGGGAACCTGATAAAACAAGGACAGCCAAAAGTCCACTCTCCCTAGCTCAAATAAAAGGAACAGGGCAGCCTAGTCAGACAGAAATCTTTAAATCAGGCCCAGGCAAGGCTCGAACTCACAGCCCCTGGTTTACAAGGCCAGCAATCAAACCATGGAGCTACAGCACCCAGCTAGAACTCTAGTCAAACTCACTAAAAATAAATGTGGCTCCACACTCACCCACCCACTTGTAGCCAAGTGGGGAAGCCTACATTTCCACCTTTTTCAGGCTGTATTGAAGCACCCCAAAAATATACTCACTAGGGTGGTGTCAGAGAAGGCTGAATACGGGGCAGAGACTTTCAGCCTCTCCTGTGCTGACATCAGTGGAGGCCAGGTGGGAAGATGGGATTCCATCTCCACTTAGCAGTAACAGAATACCCTCCCTTCTTGCGCTGAAGTGGTGTCAGGCCTAGTGGAGAGTCAGGACTTTCCCTATAATTGTTAGGGATATTTAATATATAATTATTTAACATATAATTTTAAAACTCCTGGACAATTCTACGAAAGGTTAAAAGAAGGATACCAATTCTATACACTCTCTGCAACACAGCACATAAGCATACAGATAAAAGTAAGAGGAAAAACCTTTCCTTACCTAATGATAACATGGTTATCTTCATAGAAAATTTTGAGAATCTTTTACATGCATACACACAGAGTTGACAACACAGGTTTGTACTCCTTGGGCCCACTTATATTTGGATTTTTTTTTTCAATCAAATACTGATAATATAGTATTCTTGGAATAAAAAATCTGCATGCACTGTGAGCTGACTTTTTGTATGTGTAAGTTCCACAAGGCTGACTGTGAGATTTGAGTATGTGTAAATTTTGGTTGTCCACGGGTAGGGCTGCCACCAACCCCCCCATGTATACCAAGGACAACTACACATAAAACTAGAATTATTCAGTGCCTTTAGTGAGGTTACAAGATATAAGATAAATATACAAAATAAATATATCTGTATACCAGCAATAAACATGTGAACACTGAAATTAAAATGTAGCATCATATACTTAAGTGTAAATCTAAAAAAAAAAAAAATGTATACAACTTGCATGCTAAAAACCACAAAATTTGATAAGAGAAAATCAAGGAGATATATCCTGTTCCTGGATTGGAAGATTCAATCTCTTCACCTTATACAAAAATCAACTCAAAATGAATCATAGACTTAAATGTAAAAGGTAAAACTGTGAA